CTTTGCCAAAGAGGCTATGATGGTACTCCTCCACAACCTCAGACCGATAGGCCTCGAATTCTAAATAGACGATCCAGCTCTGAACTTCGACCAAGGACACCTCGCGATGAGCACTCTCCTCTTGGAGCCTCGTTCGGACTTGTTGCTCCTCCTCAAGATGATCCCTGGCGTGCCAAGTAGTTCGGCACTCAAACATGCACCAAAGCACGGTCTTTGTCCTATAGCCCCGCGAGACCTGCTCAGATAAGTGTCTCACCCTCTTGTTGCTCTTTGGGAGCTCGCGCTTGAGCCTATCGATCTCAAAGGACTTCTGGGCATCTGAGACCTTTAAACCCTCCATCATTTATTCTCGCACCTCCATTTCTCAATGTCAGTTGCCCAGCTCGTCCTCCTTGGCCGACAGCTCCTTGAGGGCTTTCTCGAGATTGGCCCCCACGTCAGCCTATCGAGCTTCTAACTCCCCTTAGAGCTTAAGGTAGGAAATTCGGATTCTCTCCATTCGGCCGAAGATCTCTTGTTCCATGAGAGCCCCGCAAACCAAGTAGCTCCGGAGGCTTTGATGAAGACCGACATTGGGAACTTTCCCCAATATCTCTACATCACGAGGAAGCCAGAACTGCTCCACCGCTCTCAATGAATAATTCAAGATTCAAGGACCGACCCCTTCATATCAAGATGGTGGCAAGCTGGTGGCGATGCTCTGGAGATGGCTCCCTGGTATACCGAGGGCCGGCACCTGAGGATCCTCATCCTCTCCTAAGCTTCCGTCTTAACGCCATCGACCCGATAAGGATACAGATACTTTAAACCCTCTGTAGGAAAGGTCTCCTCTCTGATCGGCTCTTTCCCCGACGCCGAGTTAGCTCAGTTGGGTCGACAGGGGCCCTCTCCTTTGTATGGGCCTCGGTTTTGACCCTGACCTCATGATGGGCCTCTTCCTCCTCTTCCCGAGCCAAAGACCCATCATCCACATAGATAATTTCGACCTCACCTACCTTGACCGACCTTCCAGGTCCTTAGGTACTGATCTTTCAGGGCTCCTTCACCCTCTCAGCTTAAGCAGCCGAAGGCGCTGGTTTACCAAAAGCCCCCCCCCCGCCCCATGGCCCAATATGTCGACCACTGTGCACGAGCCATCGTAGCCTCCCCAAGGGCTAAGTCTTGACGAAGGCGCTTCACAAGCCTCGCCGACGGCCCTTTTTGTGGCTCAGCGAGTGGTGCTGTCGGAGACCCAGTAGCTTCTTCTGGAGGGATGGTTAGACTAGTCGCCCTCTTCTAATCCTTGACCATGGAAGGCTCGGCAAATATACCGTCCACTCGCAAGACAGTTGTCGAGTAAATGCTTCATCTTGCAAGAGTCAGCGTATGCCCTGATCTGATCTAGAGCTTGCCTCTTTGCACTCAACAGGTTCCCTAGCGTCAGGGCCTCCCTCACTATTTCGGGCCAATTAGAGCAGCACAAGTCCGAGTTCTCTCTCGAGACCCAAACAAACTTCTCCTTCTAGCCTTTGTTTGAGTCGAGGTCGAGGACGATCTTGAATTTACCCACCCCCTGGAAGTGAAAATGGGCTTCTTTTTGGTGCACTTTGACGCCAATCAAGTGGTCCAACACGTTCAAGGACGGGTCGATCTCCAGCCAACTGCAGATCACCACGAACCCCACTAGCATTGTGATGGCATTCAGCTTCATATGCATCGGCGACACCTCCAGAGCAGTAAATACACGACTGAAAGGGTGTTGAGGCAGACGCGGGCCGAACTCCAGTTGTTTCAAGTAGAGGGGGAGCACGACTATCATCGTGATCATAAACCGCCTGCGAACCTCGTCGGCGCAGTCAGCTTATACTTGCAGGGGATATCATATTTCCCGTGAAGGGATCTTAGTTGGGATAACGTCACTTTAGAATGGATCTCCGCCAACAATTCCTATCTAGCGTTGAGAGCGGGGGCCGCCATTAGCACTGACTTTAGATTATCGCTAGAGAAGATGATCCGAGTCTCCGCAAATTCAGATTTAGAATTTTAAAAACAGTAACCGCTCCCACGCTATCGTAATCCTATTTATATATAGCTGGGCGTCAACTGTCAAAAACGTAACAGACGAGCTGAATCTAAACCGACAGCCTAGATTAATTCCAAAATTTGAAGCAGCCTCTCCCGAATCAAGACAACGTGCTCGCCTTGGATAACCCCCAATCTTGCACGAAACGTGAAGTGATGGCAATTGAAAAGTGTTCGCTAACGTCAGCCACATCGCATTCGAAGAACTTTTCAGATCCCCTCATTAATGCTCCTCGTGACTCAGCAAGACCTGAGTCATTTCACTCGGACCTGACCTAGGCCTACTCCAAGGGGCCAACTGTTATAGCCATTTTAGTGCTGAAAAGTAATCTCCAATCAATAGCAGCTAAATGTCTCACATTATGCGTAATCGAGCCAACTCTTCACTTCAAGATAATCAAAGACCCATCTCAGACGACTGTACACGCCGACATCTCGCGAGGGAGACTTAAGAAAGCGTTACATGTTGACCCCTGGCTAGGCCGACTTCTTGACCAACCTACTCGATCGATCATTCGGCCGACATCTCGCGAGAACGACTCAAAAGACGGTTCTTCTCAACCTTCTATTGGACGAGTAGAAAGGTGACAACTACCTCGATGCTCGAGCCCCCATTGTTATCGAGGCGTAAGGCGCAATGCGGGGCGCAAAGGCCCCTTACGGACACCATGCGCAAGGCACACAATGATGCACGCGTCTCATTGAATTGAGGCGCACAACTCAAACTAATATTTTTCAACATAAAACAAAGAAGCATATAAGCAACATGTTTATATATTATCACGTAAAAAGATCAAGAAATATAATTTCACCTACTAAATCATAAAAGAGTCTTAATTAGCATGTATAACATAGAAAAGTTCATAAGTTTCCACAAATCGCAATGCAAGATAATCTCCAATATAAGCAAAAGTCTATGAAACAAAACAATCAAGTAACAAATAAAAAATATGTATTTTTATTAAAATATGATATATGTATTTTTAAGTAACAATTAAGTGATTAAAAAAACATGACCGTTCATAATTTTCTACTTAGCATTCTTAATTGTTATTTACTAGTTAGCATGAAAAGATGAAGACTGGAGGTAACAATTACATATTTACATGTTCATAATTTTCTAGTTAGCATGCTAATTAGAGAAGGAAGTTATAATTAGCAAACAAGTATACTAAATTACTAATTATTGTTTCCTTTTTATAGGTTAAACATGAAATGATGGAGAATAAATTAGCAACTAGCAAGAAAGAGTATTACATGATGTAAATATGTAATATATAAATTATTTTAAAAAAAACAGAAGAAAGAGTCTATTACATGACGCAGGTGTCAAGCGCGCGCCTTTTGCGTGCAGTGTCCCGCCTCTGGTGCGGGACGCAATTGTCCCAGCCCACAGCACCCCATGCCCGGGGCGTGCCCGGGGCGCGCGCCTCGATAACAATGTGAGCCCCTTCCACGCACTTATAGCCAATCACCTCGATGCATGATTGGGCCCTTCCACGCACTTATAGCCAATCACCTCGATGCATGATTGGCGTCATCATTTCTCTGTCCTCAATAGTCTTTATGACATATCGGACCACGTTAGCACCGCACGCCCCCAATCACTTTACATTAAATGCGTAAGTGACCTCCCCTCCACTCGTCGGCCGACACCTGTAAAGTAGATGCTGATTTGGCCGTCAGTCCATACTCGGTCGAAGTTATCATCCTATCCCCTTACTACCACTATAAATAGGGGTACTATTTTCAACAATAAGATAAAATCTTGATCTTTACCCACTGTGCTTAAGAACTTCTACAGTTCTGTTACCTTTCCACTCAAACAAATTACTGACTTGATCGTCGGAGGAACAACTGGAACCTAACTCCGCCCTTTTATGATTTTCTACTTGTACAGGGAAGAACAACACACCTCAAAACCAGACATTCGGAGGGTTAGAGGACCTCCGTCAACCAGACCACTTCTCTCATTAACTGTTTGATATCAGCCGTCAACACATAGGAACCATGCTTATCTTTAAGCAGCAAACCAATGTGCCAAATGGAATTGGCATTCCCAAATTTTTTAATAATTCTCCCAATATTTCAAAATCACTATGCAAGTTACATAATGGATCTGCTATATCTAATCACAAACAATATAATTGATTGCAGATGTCTAGTAGCCTAGAATGGGAAGTGATCATAGGACCTATCAGCACTGGTTTCTGAACATAAATGTTCAGAAACAGCTTTGAATTATAGAACTTGAACCAGATAATGCATATCATGACATAGGCAGTTCCAATCGTTGATGAACAAAATAAGATTGTTGGCAATACTAGAAGACCTTTAACTTTCAAATGTTTAAATAGAAAAGGCCTACCGAAAACTAATGTAAACTCAGACCAAATACTGGTATAATGTTCAGAAACAGCTTTGAATTATAGAACTTGAACTAGATAATGCATATCATGACATAGGCACTTCCAATCGTTGATGAACAAAATAAGATTGTTGGCAATACTAGAAGACCTTTAACTTTCAAATGTTTAAATAGAAAAGGCCTACCGAAAACTAATGTAAACTCAGACCAAATACTGGTATAGAACTCAGGCCCACCTTTACAAATTTGTAATGACTAAGTAACGTAAAGATGTCAAATACTTAAAGTGCAACATTTACATATAAAGGATATGATAAATTATCTAATTCGACTGTTTATTTGTTGCAAGCCAAAAGCTTTATTTCAAAACAGACAATAGCTACTAATGTCAGAATAATTTTTAATTGCTAATTATGTGCATGATGTGGAGAAAAGGAAGGTGAAAGATATGCTGGTAAAATCCTTTAAAAATCAAAATCTGCTAAAACAAAAGCATTTTCTTTCTTTCCTAAATAATAAAAAGTTATTCAAGAATAGCTCACATTCACTTAAGTTAACTGCAATTCAATACCTTAAGTTCATCAGCCTCGCCTTCAAGCATACTTCCATAACTTCGGTGAACCTGGAAGGATTGTTCTATCTGTAGAAAAAACTGCCACTTAGTCATGCTTATTGGAGCAAGTTCCAAGTTAAGGGGTAGTTCTGTCACAGTATCGTTCAAAGCTATCAGTTTATCCCTCAGAAGCCAAAACTCATTGAAGAAGACCATAGGATAATAATCCCCTGATAGTGGATCCACGTTCAAGTCTGCATCTAGTATCAAGGTGAACAGTTCTATCATATATCAGAATATTGACCAGTAACGGGCAAAAAAGATCCATCACAGACAAAGATAGTCATGGATATACTCAACCAGTTCCACTTAATATACTAAATAGTGATCACAGAATTAGACTGCCCACAATATTGTGAAGTTAAAGGAGAAATGAAGAAACTTCTACTTGCAAAATATTAAACTTTTTGATGAATCAAAACCACTAATAACATCATCGCTAATCCTCACCTTTATCACATTGCCACAGGCTCACTTATTCATGCATTTACTTTTAAAATAGACGATTAATGATGTTGTTGCATGTAAATCAATTAGAGTAGATAATCAGTGAGCAGATGTGTAACAGATCACCAACATAATTATTTCTAACGTATTGATAGTTGCTGTGTAAGGTGTTCAATTTTAAGTTGAAGTGGACCAAACTTCATTAAAGAGGGTAGACTTTGAAGAGAACATGGGCTAAGTCTAATAAAACGGGAATATAAGATGTGGGTGAAAAAGTCAACCAGAGATCGACAAAAAAACAAATGAAGCTTCATCACCATCAACTTGTTTTAACGATAAATTGACTTAACACAAAATGTTAAATAATTAGGTAATTAAATATTTGTGATATGAAACCTCCTAATCAATAAATAAATAAATAGGACAGAAAGTTAATTCCTGAACAAAAATTGCTGCTGGAACTTAAACTGCGCACATTAACACAATAATAGCAAAGACGAATCGGATCACTTCCTTGTAACAAAACAGGAAAATTAATGAACAATAGTTTAAGAATCTATCAGAACATAAAATAGCTATGCAGAAAAATTTCTAAGTAACAAAGAAATGATAAAGCAAATTTGTCAAACTAGAAAGTTTAAGGATACAGGGAGCAACAACCGAAGGAATGGCGTTATGTGGGTAACTGCAAAAATGGAAGACAGAAGAGTAGAATTACAGGACTTCAGAAAGAGCAAAAACTACTTGAAACCAAATATGATTAAAAAGAAGCAAAATCTAAAAGCAAAAGATAATGAGGATTGATATTCCATTTCTTGTGCATATATTAGATATTTCAGATAACTTCCTATAATTCAAGGAGATGGATAGGGTTTTAAATCTGAAAACAGTATATCTATATCTTAAATGGAGATATCAAATATCATATCTGAAAACAGTTATTTGCTTACATCTTTTTCTCATCAAAAAGTTTACAAGGAGTGACAAATTAGAAGAGCCAAATAGGGGGGAGAACAAAGAATAAGTACCCAAAAAAATGTTTTAATCATTTAAGATTTAGAGGCAACAACAATACAATTACAGGCAGAAAAGTACGAACACATTCCCAATTCAAAATAAAGATATAGTTACAAGAAGATGAATACAAACAGTAAGTAACTGATATCTTAAATTTCCCTAAGTTGCTACCTTACAGTGACAACAGTAAAAAGTATGTTGTTAGGGTATGGAATATACCTTGTGAAATCATCAACGAGATTAATTGTGATATTTGGTTTCCAATAAGAAACCCATTCCACAGGGACCTCATCCTTGCTATTGTCTTGTAGACCTTCCTTCACCTGTAAGAACCAAAGAAAGTTTGCACACAATTCATAACGAAAGAGATGAGATCCATGAGGTGACTTCCGAGAGCAAAGATGTGGTATTTTGCATGATATAGAAGGGGAAACTGAAAAAATAGATAGAACCTCAGTCATCATATGTTCATTCTCAGCCCCTTTTTGGCTTCCCAGCAAGCTTCTCCTTTTATCCGCTTTAGACTTGGGCAAATATGTTGCGACAGCTGCAAGAGAACCAAAGCATAACTAACTTTTTGAGATTATGTCTGATATTCGTAATTTCGTATAAATGTTGCTAACATCATTTATAAATCTTACCATGTGTTCTCCCAAATGTAGCACCCGGCTGATACTCAGGATCACTGGGATCTGGAGGGTAACCCAACCGAGCAAAGAAAACATGGGCATAGAGGCTCCCATTGTGTTTAAGAGCCTGAAAAGGTGTGTGATCATGGATTTTGAAAACTCAAACAACAAAAGGATGAACAATTATAACATGTCCTTTATTTAGTGATATAGAAATTATACAGTTACGCTGAATATATCCGATAGTACCTCTGATGGTGTAAATTTCAACGAAAGAGACCTGCTGCTAGTTGGTCCCCAAATTGCATAGGGAATATTTTTCTCGTGCCATATGAGAGCATTCTCATTGTCAAAGTCATTAAACTTCTCCTTTTCAGATAGATATAGCCACATGTCCTGGCAAAGACAAGAATAGGACTCCATGTTGGTTCATATTAAACAGTGCTAGTATACAATGAAATCTCAACTAAGAGATCGAACCAATGGTTGCTGTAGGAAGAAAGAAAAGATAACACATGAGGCAAGCAATTGAAAAATGCAAAAGACAAATCGAACTTAGATAATACGGAGGAGAGTGGTCTAGCCTCGGAATTCCAGACATCAAGAATGATCACACGTGCACAGCCTTGGATAATGGTAATAGGCGCCTCAAAGGCTCAAACAAAACATCATTACCTCTATTTAGACAGTGAAAGAGTTGGTTACACTACTCACCCGAGTTATAATTTGTGCGCAAAACACTTCTACAACATGAGAAGTCGCATTGTCAGCCCAAGCAGATAAAATGGGAGCAGGAATCGCGATCCAATTATTTTACAAACTATTCTAGGTTCCCAATCAGTTCAATTTCAAGAACTAGCATACGAGCTATTCTATAAAACTCGCCACTGAATGCACACAATTTAGACAAGATAATACTTTACCAAACATAATCCAGTGCTAAAGATCATTGTTTTCCTCTCTTCTAAGTTAAAAAGAAGTACAATCTCCACTAATTTCAACACTAAATTATATAATTTAGTGTTAATGATGCATCAGATGAGATTTTGGGTTTAGAAACCAAAACAAAATCTAATTTCAATCATTTTCTTTGATCGTAAACTAAAGATTACACTCTCATAAAACAAAGTCACAAGATCAAGCAAATCAAGAGAATTAGAGTTTCGATGACAAAAACTAACCAAGGGCTCGCCTTTCTGGAACAAATTGTTGATGAGCTGAGAAGGATCCGAGGGGGGTTTCTTCGGAGAGAAGAATTTCATGGCGAAGTACCACATCACCGCCATCCTTATGATCCCCGTCAGCGACTGCCCGAAGCCTCCGATCTTTGCCGCCGCCGGTTGCGCCATCGCTCACCGCCGAGCACCGGATCCGGAGAGAGCGCGCGCGCGTGCGTAGGGGGCGTGATGTTTTTGGGATCAGCGATTGTTTGTTTTATATAATAGAGTACTGTTTTAGTTTGATTACTAAAATGTAGTAATCGTCGAAGATATTTAGGTTTAATTTCATAAAAACCCCTTAACTTTGGATGCTTTATCACATAAGTCTATTAAACTTATTTTATCTTGCAAACCTTGGACAAATTTTCAAAACAATCCTCTTTGGACTTTTAATCCCAAAATAACCCGTTTTGGTTTCAGCCTCAACGCTGAAACCAGGTCGGTTTCTGAAAAAAAATTCTGAAACTTCACGGGAGTTGAACTCCTGTGAAGTTTTAGTAAGCTTTACTAAACTTCACGGGAGTTCAACTTCCGTGAAGTTTCGGATTTTTTTTCCAGAAACCGACCTGGTGTCAGCGCTAAGGCTGAAACCAGGTCGGTTTCTAAAATTAAGTTAAAAACGGATCTTTTTAGAATTAAAAGTGTAAACGGGGTTGTTTCGAAAATTCCTCCTGCAAACCTTCCTAAACGTGAAACTTCAACTCAAAGAGGAGAAGAGCGATAAATTTTAGAATTTTTTTCCCTTTTATTTAGTTATTTGCAAATAACAGGCAGGTGGTGCATCTGTACCGTTGGTTTGGAATTGATAGTGATGGACGGTTGGGATTGCTGGAACTGGATCTGGGTTCTGATAGGCCTCGGGCTTGGGCTTTGGCTTGGGCTGGTAGTTAGGGTGTCTGTGGTTATATTTTTATTTTCAAGGAGCATATAAATATCATTTTCTGAGCAAAGATTGATGACCGTGAAAGTGCTACCTGTTTTCTTATTATATACAAATGATGATGATGATGATGATGATGCTCTAATGGCCAAATAAAACTTATAAAATACCAAAACCTGTCTTAGTTTTCATGTCAAATATATGATTTTCGTTTCTCTTTTTTAAAGAACTCAAAAAACTTAAAGGTGGAAGCACATAATTCACTTGAAAAAAAATGTCACTTTCAACAATATAATCTAACTTACAAATGAGTTAGAAACAATTGCATATCAAGATTAACTGCAAATGAAAATTTACCGGAAAAAAAAAAGACAATTAGAGGTAAATCAGACAAGGATTAGGCTTATGTGTCACCAACTACACCTGGGTCAAAAAGCCAAAGCTTTAAATGGAAATTTTGTTTATTAAAAAACGGAGAAAAACAAAAACAAAATTATTGTGGTCATTATCCACCAATTCCCGTTGTAAGGTACATTATCCTTTCCATCATTCTCTTTTATTTATATTTAAGTAACATTTGGAGAGCTCTACAAGACTACAACAAAGAACTCTGGAAACTTAGGGCAACCCTGATGGGCTTCTTTATAGTGGGGCCCATGGACTAAAATAATATGACCCACTTATGTCATATAGACAGATCCTCTCTTAAATTTAAGATGAGAAATAAGTTTAACATTTTTTAAGGCCCTACAACTATGGCCCAAGCCCAACTAAATAATTGAATCGAATTTTAAAAAGACAAAGTAGGACCAAGGAAACATGCTGCACGTGCATTTGATTTGCACATTAAATGAGAAAAATAATAGTCAAACACAAGGAAAGATAATTATCTTTATTCTCTTCCACTTTTTCTCCCTTTCACTTTTCTTATATTTTTATTTGTTTATGAAATTTAGCAATAGGATAAGCAATCAGCTCTAGCTCATAGTTAAGGAACAACTTTCAATATATTTGTGTGGTTTAACATATGTATCAAACTATTATCTCAAGCTTTATAAACTAATTATCAGGTCAAAACCAATTCAAGGGGGTTTTCGGCTGAGATAAATCAAATTATGTCCGATCCAAAAAAAAATTGTAACAGAAAAAAGATCAAAAATTAATCAAAGTCAAACTTGAAACCGAAAGATGTCAAATGTTAATGTAAACTCATTAGTTTGTAAAGCACATTTGGCTCGCAATAATTTCAAAAATTTTGATTTCTCATGTTCATGCAAATTGAGTTATGCTTTTTTTTTATAAGCGTATGCTTCGAGTTTGTATTCTTATTGTATTAGTGGTAAATGAAATATTTTATTGGACGAAACTATAAAGCCCTTGAGAATATAATGTACATATCTAATCCTTATACATTTCACATAAATGTTTGCATTAAAATAGACTGATACATCTTTATAGAGGATCAAGCCCATAACTCCCAATTATCTACTTTGATCTCGGTCCCAAATTGATTCCGATGCTCCAAAAAGATATAAGCGTGTGAAAAGAATATCAAAAGGAAACTTCATTTCAAAATAAAAAATGATCACATGCTCGAGGTATTTCATAGTTATATCTTAATCAAAGTAAAGGATATTCCATAGCATGTAACTATTATTCTCTTTTATCCTCTTTTTACAATTCCCATCACAAACTAACTAAATATTCTCATCAAAGTTTTAATCTCGTTAAAGCACAAGGCGCTGATCATATATTAGCTTTTGTTTCCCTTTCTTTTCCACATAATGCCTTGATTAGCATGTGGGAGTACATAATTCATGAGAAAGTTTTAGTGATAACTTATATGTATCTCTAAAATATTCCATGCCCCAAAGTCCAAATATTCCTAGTTGAGGATTCTGTGATCCTAGGAATTGTAATCTTAGAAATTCCTTCATTGAACATAATCTATATCTATATCTATCTATCTATTTTTATCTATATCTATACTACTATAAAAAGAGGATTGATGTGTTAAAACTAGGGCTGGGCGTATTCGGTTCGGTTCGGTTTTAAGCCCAATCCGTATCCAATCCGAATTTTTCGGATTCTCAAAACTCTCATCCAGATCCAGATTTTTTCCCCTTCATCCGAATATTCGGCCCAACCGAAATTCGGTTCGGTGCGATTCGGTTTTGGTTTTGAACCGAATTAACTCCATTTCACAAAAATCTGGGTAAGTTTTAGTTATATCCAAAACTGAAAAGAAGCAATCAAAACTGAAAAGAAACAATCAAAACTGTACTAAGCCACTTAATCAAATTGTATGATCTGAATATAACTAGCTTAATACACTAGGAGGACCATGTAATTATGTAGCCTTTTTTAGAGAAAGAACAATGTTTGGCAGGCACACACACCTTTTGATGATTTTCGTTAATTTTTAGCTGCCTTTTTCTCATCAAGAATTATCTTATATCCTTGACAGCCTATACTATAGGTTAATTTGATATCCAGCACCAGCAAGCTGTATTCATGTTATCACTGAAATTTGACCAAAACACTAAATTTATCCTTCAACCTCAACATCTTGTATTGATTTACGGAAATCTCACTTAACTATATCAGCGTACTCAAATATATGTTAGTATAAACTCCACCCCACAATTCTTAAATGCTAAACATTCAGCCATAAATTTTCTTCACACCCAAGGCTCGCAGCTACTTTTTGTTTAAGAATTCGGTTCGGTTTTTTTTGGGCGGTTCAGGGGTTCAAACCGGATCCAGACCGGTTTAATTCGGTTCGGGCGGTTTAGAGACTTCTTCTCATCCATTTAATTCGGTTCGGTTAACCGATCCGTTTTTTCGGGCGGTTTTTTCGGTTGAACTGGTTTGTTTCGGTTTTTGCCCACCCCTAGTTAAAACTTTTAATTTTTCTTTTTTGACCTCTCAAATTTTGATAAATTCTAACTATGTTATTATCTCTAATAAATCTTTCATTTTTTCTTTTTTGACCTCTCAAATTTTGATAAATTCTAACTATGTTATTATCTCTAATAAATCTTTCATTAAATAAATATAACCTCTTATTAATTGTGCATCTCCTCACCTTCCTAAATAATTATAATTATCAATAATATTATGATTATTAATTGTTTTAAAAAATGTAATAAAATATTTATAAAATAAGTATATATAATTATTGGTAGCAACAAATTAAATTATTATTATAATTATTATGAATTATAATAAAATATTCAAAATAATAATATATATCATATCATATCATATCATACTCCCTTTAAAAGAGGGAGTTGTGGAAAAACTTTTCATTGATCATATTGCCCCTATTCTTTTTTTATATTATATTCTAATAATAAATTACATAAATTAATTATCATTATTAATTAATCATATTATATGTCACTTCAATTTTGACTAACTTGGCCCCAAAACTTCTAATGTTATTGTAAAACTCTCATATTAATTATTAATATCGCACAATACTATATTAATAGACAATTACAAGTTAATAAATTATTTAGGAAGGAGTAGACAATATAGAATTATCCTAAAATTATACCATGGCACTCGCGTAGGAAAATTATGATTACGTATACTCTTAACTGGTCGTTTTTTCAGATTTCAGGCTCGTGTATATAGTGCATGATTTCACTCTTATATTCATATATATACATTGAATTGATCTCAAATCAATTTCTAGCATACTAAAATATTAATAAATGTTATTTATCACCATATAACATATTTATTATTATTTATTAACATATTTTTAAATTCACGGGGTTTTACATGAAAACCTTTTAATATATTATGATAATCATAAACTCTTTTGCAACTATGTTATAGTAAATACATAAACTAAAAATCAACAATTATAATATTTGACCACGTGCATCGCACGTGCATTCCACCAAGTAGAATAATATATTACTAAGTAGTTTTGAGAATTATACTATAATTCAATGAGCAATATAATAAATAAATAAATATTTATTCACATAAATAATATAAATATTTTAATAATATTACATAAATTATGAATTACACTATTTATTTAGTATTACAATTAGGAATTACACTATTTATTTAGTATTACATTATTAAATAAATAATTTAATATTATTTTTTGAGAATATTTTCTCAAAGGTTATTACATGATACTTAATAATCTATACTTGGTAGCATTTGAAAACTAACCTTTTTACAAAAAAAACATTTAATATTAATAACAGTACTATTAATTGTTAATGATAGGATAATAAAAAATTATGAAATACTTACATTACTAGATTATTTAAGAGCATAATTGAAAATTTGAATTAGATAAATTATAAATATATAATATATAGGTAGTATAAATATTTTAATAGTATCACTTGAACTAAGAATTATAACATTAGATAATGTAAACTACTGTAAACCCCCGTGAACTTTTAGTATTTTGCAGTTAATAGACCCTATGATCTTTCCAAATCACACTAAACCCCTAATAACTTTTGTAGAAATCCCCTAATACCTTTTAAATAAATTACAGCAAATCCCCAATAACTTTCAAAATGCCTTTTTATGTCATTTTTCGCTTCTAATTTATAAAGGTCATCTGCAAAATTAAGAAAATTATATATTGGAGGTTTTCTTTGAAACAGAAAAGTCGTTAGGGGTTTAGTGTAATTTGAAAAGTTCATAGGTGTAGAAAGTTCATAAGGGTTTAGTGTGATTTACTTATTAAATAATTATAATGAGAAGTTTCTATTGCAATATGTTATAGGTATTAAGTATAATTATCTTAGGGAAAATTAGAAAAAAGCTAGCTAGATTGAATCAGCTTAGTTAATTAAAAATTAAGTTAATAACTTTCAAGCTGGATGAGCATATTTACGAGAACTTATAGAATTAACAACTTTATTTAAGAACAATTTTAGATTTGCGGGACTTATTAAAAAAACGTTAGCATTAGACGATTATTATAAGAACAACATTCAATTACAATAACTACACAATAATAATTAATTTTTACATTTCTTTTTAAGAAATTTTATTTATTGACACATAGTTTTATTATTTAATAAAAATTCAAAAATATAAAACATGTACATTTACGTGCAAAGTACATGCATTATATTAGTATCTATTAAAAGTGACATGAAGTTTATAAACTATGTTGGGTCAATGAATTATTTGAGTATAACTCAATGGAAAAAGGATTGTATGAATTGTATGAAGTTTCATGCTCAAGCTCATTTGAGGATCTATGTTGGATTAGATCTGAATTTAGATTCAATCCAATGTCAGCATGTTAAATTTTTTTAGGTCGTCTTCTACAAGCTTTAGTCGTTTATAAACTAGCATGTGAACCTTACACAGCAAAATAAATGCATGTTGAAATATAAGTTAGCATGTGTACATTATTTACTAACTAATGAAAATAAGGGAAGACAAAGGAAAATGACTTAAAGAAATTGGTTTTCCCACTTTTAAAGTAATGAAAAGGAAAGAATGAAAGGGACAAAGAAAGACAATTTTCCAAAAAAACCAAACATCCATATTTGCTCAACTCAAAGGTAGTTTACAAGTGAAATTAGGGAAAACAAAAAAGAAAGTTCCCAATCACTTTCTAGGTGAAGAAACATAAACCTAGATGGCTCAACCAACCAACTTCATATTTTGGCCGTTGTGCTTATCCCACATTGCTCCTCTCTCTATCACTAAGCTCCTTTATCATTCTTTATTCTCCATCCTTCTTCATCAATTGTTTTTATCCCCATAAATGAACATAAGCAACAAAGGTGACATACAAATCAACTGACATCCAATTTCTCATTAGTTAATTGAATAGTATCCATCACAAGTCTTTCTCACCCCCAAAGTGCTTTCAAGCAAAAATTTTATTTACATCTTTGATTTATTTTTTCAATAATTAAATTTCAACTTTCTATCTTCACTGCGTCTCTACTATATTCCTATATATTTTATATTTAACAGAGAAATATTAACAGTTTAAACACAAATACACGGGAATGAGTGAGAATTGAATGCAATTCCAACTCTTTATTCCCGCGTACCAAACACGATGTATTTTTAGATGTTAGAATTGATATTCCTACTTCTTATACGTGGGAATTGTCATTCTCAATCATTTCATAATGAATTGATATTCCTACTTAAGTGAGAATAAAAATAATCAAATAATTTCCAATTATACCCTCATTAAAAGATATGAATAGATATAAATTCCAATATGAAAAGTTATTTTTATAGAAAAATATCATTAGCTACTAGTACAAATATACAAATAAATATAAAACCATAATACAGTTTGGAAAAAGATTAGCCAGCAATTTTTAAATTTATATCACTACCGAATACCTTGCTCTAGTTCCAATATCAGTCGTAGTTCCACATCATTCTCGAAGACTATATATATATAAAGGCATTATAATATATATAAAGGCGTTATATATAAATTTCCCAATATTGGACCTACGACTGATATTG